ATTTCATTGTATTGGTGTGTCCAATGAAATTTCTCTTCAGTTTCCACATGCAGTTATACATATTTTACTGAATTTTGCCATTGTGTAGGCATCTGCATGTCCGACTGAAAATTTTGTGAAAAATGTGGTTTCAATGTGGTTAAAAACAGGTGCTGATTAATTGTGGGAAAATCAAGCCCTCCATATGCTATCCACTAATCTATGCTATACATGCCTCAATGCATAAAGCAAACAATACGTCTTGTAGCAAATGTTAAAACTGGGTTTAGATCATGACATATAAAACATTCGATATAGGCATAATTTTGTAGGGCTACTGCGCCCCAACACATTTAGCAGTTGTGTGGTTTTCTGCCTGTAATGGACTGGCGACCTGTCCAGGGTGTCATCTCCTCTTGATAGGTCTGCCTTAGCAACATTCTTATGATGTTTCTCTCTGTTCTGGGCATTTCACTGTTCAACTATAAACTTATGGCTTTTACACAGGCCATGCAGTCGTAGTGACTGATTTTGAAGGCCATTGTTTGTCGTATGCTCTCTGGCAAAGCAGTCATGGAACTGGATATGGCATCTTTGCTAGAGACTTTTACAAATGAGTTATTGTTTTTCTGGTGACTGAGTGTGTTTGTACATAGTCAGATATGAATGTTTAGAGTACGTTCTCCTTAACCTTATTTCCATAAGATTTAAAGTCATTCAAATTAATTGTCTAGCACAGTAACAAACTCACTTATGGGGTCAAGAAACATGAGTACTCAGATGTTCAGATAGGCTGTAAACAAGCCGTTATTTAGATTTTCAAAACAACAGATTTATATGTAGACATGAAAGTGAAAGGATATGGATGGTGACAAATTAAAGTGGATATTTTTTAGTTAATCTTTGGAAACCTAACCTCACCTTTAAAACTAGTCTTTTGCAATGTTCCTACCCTATTGCTTATTGTTGCTGATAAAATTATAGACAGAACTACAAAAATCTGCAATAGTTCATAACCATCATCCACTAGAATACACAGCTGAAAGGTAAAATAATCACATACAAAATGTAATCAGATAAAGCTAAATACTTTTCTTCCTTGAAGAATCATTTGGATAAAATGCTTCATTACAGTAATAGCAACTAATGGTTAGGAAAAATGTAGGCTACTTGTCTTATCAGGGCTTCAAACAAAACCAAGAAACAAACAAAAAAAAGCATCAAAAGCAGATCGACTTCAACAGGAAACAATAGTGGTAGTGTGCTCTTTCGTCATGACTGAATATTGTGCCTTTACCAAGAATCTCAATATTTTCACAGGGTTTAGCTTAGCTTTGATCTAATAAGTAGAATTTAAAACAAATCATCTTGTACTTTTTTAGATGAAGAACAGCTTGAACCAGAAACAGAAGTGGACTCTTGAAGATCGTTTTTGAGACTAAAGTATCGTACCATTATCCCAGCATAATGATGACAATCTTTTGAATTCAGTGCTGAATAAATCTCTTACAAGGCTGTTCCTCACGCTATCAGTGTTTCTGATCCTGGACAGAGCACAGTAAATGGACAGGAAGTGAAAAAACAAACAAACAGACAAACAAACAAACAGCTTGGCTTTCTTCACAACAAAGGATCCAGAGCAAATGGACACATGTTTTCTGTGAAGAGAAAAGCTAATGGAATCCTGAACTGTGGCTGTGGAGGGGGAGGACGTGCTGGACTTATTTTGTAAAATTGCTGTATGCATTTTCTCTCATGCTCTATATGTGTTGAGTGGAGTGGAATGTAGATGTGTTTGTGTGTCTTTCTGCTTATCTACAGGTAAACATAAGACACTGCATGAATGGTTGTGTAGACGTTTGTGCATTTTGGTGTGTGTGTGTGAGAGAGAAACAGAGTGATAGTGGAAGAACACAGAAAATAAAATGAATTTGTGTCAACTTATGGAGACTTCAAAGATGAAAGTTTAAATAAAATTACTGACATCTCTACAAACTAAATGTAAAGCGCATTTTTCTGGCCTCTCTTGTATGGTTAACTGGCTCATACTCAAAGTACAAAGGAGTCTCTTTTAAGCCAAGAGAAAACTCAATCATTTATTTGTGGACATACACTGCTCAAAGCAAGCTTTGTCTACCTTTATTTCCATGAGGTACAGACAGGACAATTACATTGGAACATGTATAGACAGTACATGCTAAATCATTTTAATAATTTTTTTTTCCAGAAAAAGAGATGTCAGCATATGCCATTTGGCCAGAAATTAGAGGCATCCAAATAGATGAGATAATGATGCAGCTTAAAGTTTGAATTAAACAAACATTTCTCTATCTGCACAGCTGAGTGAACAGCTTCATAAATGCAAGTGATGAATTTGACCATTGAAGGAGACTAGTGAGAGTGAATCAGAGTCAGAATCAGAAACAGGTCTATTGCCAGGTATAGTTTACACAATCCAAGGAATTTTTCTGGTGGGTTGATGCAACAATAATATAGACAAAAAGAAAAAAAAAATAAAAGATGCAAATATAATTATAAAATATAAAAAAATAAAAGTGAAACACTGCAACAATGCAACAACAGTAGCAACTGAGTTATTTATATTTAAACAGGTAGTCTATGGAAGCGAGGGGGGTTGGGGATCAGTGGGGGTCCTGGGCATTGTTCATGAGGCCGGTGGCAGACAGAAAGAAACTGTTTTTGTGGCGAGAGGTTCTGGTCCTGATGGACCAAAGCCTCCTGCTGGAGGGGAGTGTTTCAAAAAGTTTGTGACCAGGGTGGGAGAGGTCGGCCACAATCTTACCTGCAGGCCTCAGAGTCCTCGAAGTGTACAGGTCCTGGAGGGAAGGCAGATTGCAGTCAATCACCCTCTCTGTAGATTGGATGATACACTGCAGTCTGCCCTTGTCCTTGGTCATAGCTGCAGCGTACCAGATGGTGATGGAGGAGGTGAGGATGGACTTGATGATGGAGGTGTAGAAGTACGCCATCATTGTCGCTGGCAGGCTGAACTTCCTCAGCTGTCGCAGGAAGTACATCCTCTGTTGTGCTTTTTTGATGAGAGAGCTGATGTTCAGTTCCCACTTGAGGTCCTGGGTGATGGTGGTGCCCAGGAAACAAAAGGACTCCATAATGTCCACTGGAGAGTCTCTCAGGGTGATGGGGGTGAGTGGGGCTGTGTTCCTTCTGAAGTCTGCAATCATCTCCCCTGTCTTTAGAGCAGTGAGCTACAGGTTGTTCAACCTGCATCAGTACACCAGACGGTCTGTCTCCCACCTGTAGGTGGACTAATCCCCAGCAGTGATGAGCCCAATGAGTGTCGTGCTGTCCGCGAACTTCAGGAGTCCGCAATTTACATTATTAGTAAACTGACTGGAAGGCCACAGTCGAGAACTAAACAACTCTGCCGTCTCCAAGGATTTTTTTTTTAAAGTGCCTACAGATAAAACTAGGGATTTTGTTTTTCTTTCATTTTTCTTCTGTCATTGAGGGTGCAATACACTGAACCTGGGGACAGGGGTTAAACCACCAACCTCACGATAAGTGGACAACTCACTCTGGCACCTGAGCCATTGTGGGTCAAGCACTATTTATATATTTTTGTTCAGTGAAAAAAATTACAATTTCCACTTGAGTCATGAGTCATATCGCAATTGCAATATTTGTTGAACTAATAGAAGTATGATTTTATGATAATTTTATTTTTTTCAGCCTAGGCCTTGCCATACCTTCCTCAGGCATCGAATGGTTGGCAAGAACTTCCCAAAGCCAACCAAAAGTCTTCCTTAGTCTCTACAAATACCTCCCACTGGTTTCCATATTACCATTAAAATCTTGAAGTTCCAAGAATCAAACAAGTACTAAGCAGAGTTTGCCATAACCAACAGGAGACACTTTTCCCACTACAGATGCAAAATAAAATTATTTTGATCCTAAACTGTGTGTTGCTTGCTGATGTTCTGATAAGTAAACTGGGTAACACTTTCAATTACTGTCTTTTCTTTTGGTAGCTTTTATTTTCTGGGATAACAATTAAAGATTAAATAATTACTTCATTTTGTCTGTATCTTACAGGATCTTGCAGTAGGGCACAGCCTATTGATATTGTTCAAGAAATAAATTTAAGTATTACATAAAACATATAAAAGATTTGGTGACTTTGTCAAGATTTACAAAATTATCCTGATGTTGGCATATTTTAAAAATCTGTTTTGCATGAAGCCTTTAAGGGTCAGTTGACTTTAGAAATACATTTCTACCGAATAAACTTTATACACTTTCTTTAAAATCAACATCATAAAGAAGACAGACTTCCACTGTTGAGATGATAATCTTTCCATCCAACAGTGGAGGCCTGTCTTGTGGAGATGCCACAATGTTGTCTGCAGCAAGTAGTCCTGTGGTTGCACTGCAGCTGTCGAGCTCAACATGTTGTTTACATGTGCAAGCAGTTTAAACGTATAACAAATTAACAGCGGTTTCTTGTTGCATGACTAACTCAAATGTTTGTATTGTCGCTCAACCGCCCATCAGCCACAAAATTACAACCACCTTTTTAATACTGTGTAGGTGCAAACTGTGCTGCCACAACAGCTCTGAATTGTCACAGCAAAGACATGGAGCCCTGGGAGGTGCCGTTAAGTGTCTGGCACTGATATACTTGCAGTGGATCCTTTGGGTCCTGTTGGTTGCAATGTGAGGCCTCTGTGCAAGTTTAATAAACATGAAAAGCTGACATCTCTCATTTACATCACAATTTACAGCACCACCACCAACCCTGACCACAATAATAAACTTATTACACAATTATTACCTTTTTGATAACAAAAAAATTAGAATGTAGCCTTGTATAAGCAGAGCTTATGGCAGAGCTACAGTATTAAATTGCACTAGATTTCTTGTGACATTATGCTGTGGTTTCAACAAAAAGAATTAAAAGTAAATATGCACATTGTGACAAACACTCATCTGACAGATCACAATGTACAGCAGTACTCTGTAACAAAACAAAGTAGAGATGATACAGCTGTGCCACAAGTACAATTTATTCACTTTAAAACAACAGCTCCAAAGCAACGCCGCCTCATTTTGCTAACTGCCTCCTGCCTCTACTCCTGTCTTCTCTGGCCTTTCTTTACCTTATCTGACCAGATGAGAAGTACTAAGATGAAAGGCGAGGATGCAAGGTAAGAAATCGAGGACATATAAACTGAGAAGAGGGGAGCAGCTAAAGCAGAAAAACGGAAGTGAGGGGGAAGTGGAATGGGTGTCAGAGGCCGATGTGACATTAACTGCAGGTGGACAGATGAAAGAAAGAAGCCTGCTTCATATCTGCCCTCAGTAATACTGACATTTATGATGATACCACTCATAATGAAAGCATCAACAAAGGCAGCATCCCCCGTAACACACCATGTTATCTAACACCATATGGCACTGTTTTTTCTACTAGACTACTTGAATTAAATCCAGGCTCAAAGGGAAAAGAAACATTTACTCAACACTATGATTCAACACAGTGCATTACAAAAACAAAATTAGACTGTGTCACTGCTAATGCACAGCCAAGTTGCAAAGGCAGAAGTCATCAAATCATTACTCTATAATTCTGAGCGATAACTTCTTTCTCTCGATGTTCTGTGGTTGCCATCTTGCCATCATTTTAACTGCAGCACCACCTGCAAGACATAAAAACACAAATCATTAACATTTTATGACTGGCTGATGTAGTTGTGCATGGGTGCCATATCAAATTTTATTACATTCAAATGCACTAAATAACATTATATAAGGAATTAAACTCTGAATATATATATATATATATATATATATATATTCTTTTTTTTTTTTTCAAATGGGCGCCGCAGGAAACAGCTGCCTCACTAGTTGCCCCGCAACACCAAACGTTTTTTTTTTTTTTCCTTTTTTCTTAGATATTTTCTACTTTTCTTTTTGTCTTTACACACTCTATGGATACCTGTAACTTTAAAGCACCCGCAGGAGCCAGGATTCTCACTTTTTCTCGAGAGGAGCTGCTGGCTCTAAAGCTGATGGCACAGGCTGGAATACGACATGACATCCCGGCTGAGCTGAGAAGACTTTACTGGGGCAGCAAGGCTGGCGCTTGGCTAAAGGCTAGACTAACAGACCGGAGGCGTTTCGAACCATCAATCCTGACGGTAATTATGGGGAACGTAAACGCCTTGCAGAACAAGATGGACGAGCTGTCGGTGCTGATCAACCAGCGCATCGACCGAGAGTGCAGCTTGCTCATCCTCTCGGAATCGTGGCTAACCCAGCTAACACCGGACGCTACCGTGGACCTGTCGGGCTTCACTACAGTGAGAGCGGATAGAGATACGAAAGCATGCGGAAAAAGCAGAGGTGGGGGTCTCATCATGTACGTTAACAACCGCTGGTGTAACCCAGGTCACGTTTCTGTCAAGGTGGTTCTCTGTTGTCGGGATTTAGAACTGTTAGCCGTTAGCCTGCGGCCATATTACTTGCCACGAGCGTTCAGTCACGTGATCGCGATGTGTGTTTACATCCCCCCGAGTGCCAATGCACCCGCTGCCTGTGAGAAGATTCACACATTCACAGCAAGGCTGCAGACCCAACATCCAGAGGCACTCATCGTCATCTTTGGGGACTTTAATCACGTCACACTGAACTCTGCCTTGCCTACTTTCCACCAGTTTGTGAACTGCCCCACCAGAAACAGCCGGACAATCGACCTCCTGTATGCTAATGTACGGGATGCATACAGAGCCACCCCCCTCCCCCCACTTGGGAAGTCAGATCACAACCTAGTCCTCCTACAGCCTCAGTACACCCCTCTGGTCAAAAGACAGCCGGCCACAACACGCACCATCAGGAGGTGGTCTCCTGAGGTGGAGGAGGCCCAAAGGGACTGTATGGTAACCACCTGGTATGTTCCGTTTCCCCCCATGGTGAGACATTTGAATTATGTTGCTGACTCTGAGATTTTATTGCTGGACGAATAATTTAAAGGTAGATTTTGATTATTTTAATTAATGCAATAATTTGATTTATGGTGAAAATAAGTATGCCTTATTTCCCAACCCCTACACCACGTGTGTACACACGTGGCCAAAAATCAGACATTGCTTTTGAACCGTGGTTTAACAGAATTATTTTTAAAAATAAACTCATGAAACAGGCCTGGACAAAAATGATGGTACCCTTTTGTTGCACAACCTTTTGAGGCAATCATTGCAATCAAACGATTTAACTGTCAATGAGACTTCTGCACCTCTCAGCAGGTATTTTGGCCCACGCCTCATGAGCAGACTGCTCCAGTTGTCTCAGGTTTGAGGGTGCCTTCTCCAGACGGCACGTTTCAGCTCCTTCCACAGATGTTCAATAGGATTTAGATCAGGGCTCATAGAAGGCCACTTCAGAATAGTCCAATGTGTTCCTCTTAGCCATTCTTGGGTGTTTCTAGCAGAAAGCTTGGTCTCATTGTCCTGTTGCAAGACCCATGACCTGTGAATGAGACCAAGCTTTCTGACACTGAATAGACTGCTAGAATTTGTATTATGGCAAGAAAAAAGCAGCTAAGTAAAAAAAAAAACGAGTGGCCATCACTACTTTAAGAAATGAAGGTCAGTCAGTACCAAAAATTGCAGTCGCAAAAACCATCAAGTGCTACAAAGAAACTGGCTCACATGAGGACCACCCCAGGAAAGGAAGACCAAGAGTCACCTCTGCTGCGGAGGATAAGTTCATCCGAGTCACCAGCCTCAGAAATCGCAGGTTAACAGCAGCTCAGATTAGAGACCATGTCAATGCCACACAGAGTTCTAGCAGCAGACACATCTCTAGAACAACTGTTAAGAGGAGACTGTGTGAATCAGGCCTTCATGGTAGAATAGCTGCTAGGAAGCCACTGCTAAGGACAGGCAACAAGCAGAAGAGACTTGTTTGGGCTAAAGAACACAAGGAATGGACATTAGACCAGTGGAAATCTGTGCTTTGGTCTGATGAGTCCAAGTTTGAGATCTTTGGTTCCAACCAACGTGTCCTTGTGCGACGCAGAAAAGGTGAACGGATGGACTCTACATGCCTGGTTCCCAACGTGAAGCATGGAGGAGGAGGTGTGATGGTGTGGGGGTGCTTTGCTGGTGACACTGTTGGGGATTTATTCAAAATTGAAGGCATACTGAACCAGCATGGCTACCACAGCATCTTGCAGCGGCATGCTATTCCATCCGGTTTGCGTTTAGTTGGACCATCATTTATTTTTCAACAGGACAGTTACCCCAAACACACCTCCAGGCTGTGTAAGGGCTATTTGACCAAGAAGGAGAGTGATGGGGTGCTACGCCAGATGACCTGGCCTCTACAGTCACCAGACCTGAACAATAATAATAATAATAATAATAAACTTTATTTATAGAGCACTTTTCAAAACAAATGTTACAAAGTGCTTTCCAGTAAAATAAATTACAATTAAAATGCAATAATCATACAGAACAATTGATAAAAGAAGAAAGTCACACACAAAAAGCAAGAAGCTAAAAAAAACAGAACTTAAAACTTAATAAAATCAGGAAAAGCTCTCCGATAAAAATGTGTTTTAAGAAGTGTCTTAAAAGAGAGCACAGACTTAGCCGACTTGATTTCCTCGGGCAGGTCATTCCAGAGCCTCGGCACCTGGACTGAAAATGCTTTGTCCCCCTTTTGTTTTCAGCCGGGCCTCTGGCACAGTTAAAAGACCTTTCCCTGAGGCTCGTAGGGAGCGTGGTGGAGAATATGGTGTTAAAAGGTCGGCAATGTAAGTGGGACAGAGACCGTTGAGTGCTTTAAAAGTGATTAATAAGATCTTAAATCAATCCTAAAACGTACTGGCAGCCAATGTAAAAGAGCTAAAACAGGCGTGATGTGCTCACGTTTCCTCTTCCTGATTAAAAGCCTGGCAGCAGAGTTCTGCACTGTCTGTAGTCTGTCCAGGGATTTCTGGTTAAGACAGGTAAAAAGGCTGTTGCAGTAATCCAGCCGTGAGGAAATAAAAGCATGTAAAATCGTCTCTGTATCTTTAAAAGTTAAATAAGAGCGAATCTTTAAAATATTTCTAAGATGATAAAAACATGACTGTACGAGTTTTGTTGTGTGTTTTTCAAAGTTCAGGTTAAAATCAAACCAGATGCCGAGATTCCTTGCAGCTGGCTTAATGTTGTCCAGCAGTGGGCCAGCAGATGGCAGAATTTGTTTTGCCATCTGCTGGAACCCGATGACCAAGATTTCCGTTTTACTGTTGTTCAGCTGAAGGAAGTTCTCTGACATCCAGTTTCTCACATCCTCGATACAGTCGTTTAAAGCACTCAACTTCCCAGGGTCAGTGGACTTGACGGGCAGGTACAGTTGCGTGTCGTCAGCATAAAAATGACATAAAACACCGTGTCGTTGTATTATGTGCCCCAGGGGAAGCATATACAAAGAAAATAAAATTGGACCTAAAACAGACCCCTGAGGCACACCATACTTCACTGGATAAAATGATGACATGTGGTTGTTTGCTGCAACACAAAACCTTCTATTAGTAAGGTAAGATAAAAACCACTCTAAAACTGTACCTGAAATGCCCACCCAGTGCCTCAGCCAGTTTAAAAGAATGCTGTGATCAACAGTGTCAAATGCAGCACTGAGGTCCAGAAGTACCAAGATGGAGCACATACCATCATCTGTTGCCATTAAGAGATCATTGGTCACCTTGAGCAGGGCCGTTTAGGTGCTATGGTACTTCCGGAAACCAGACTGGAATTTTTCAAAGACCAGGGGCCTCATGTACAAAGCGTGCGTACGCACAAAAACTTGGCGTACGCACTTATCCACGCTCACGTTCAGATGTATCAAGAGCGAAATGAACGTGGAAATGTGCGGTCCTCCACGCCAACTTCTTGACTGGCGTACGCACGTTTCTATTGCTTTTGAGCCTTTGGCGACACTTAGAGGTGATGCTGGGAATATAAAAATGTACAAAACAATGTAAAAAAAGGTAATTCCTCAAAGTGATATGCACATCAGAGACACTAAGATGAACACTTAACACACCCAGGTGTTTGCAATCAGATGAGCGGATATACAAGTTTACGTAAAATGGTGCCGAAGATCCCGTTAACAACAATGGCAGCTTTGGACCTGTTGGATATTGCCAATGGAGCAGTGCCAAGAGAACGGGTTTTCAGAGACCTCAGGACGACGACTGGATCATCAGCCGCTTTACGTTCCCGACGGCAATTCGCTTAGAACTGTGCGCGAAGCTGTGGCCATTATTGGAGTGCAACACGGCCAGGAGCCATGTCCTACCTGTGCCCATACAGGTGCTGACCACACTGGGCTTCCTAGCCACAGGGTCATTTCAGAGGGAGCTGGCCGACCGACCGGGACTGTGCCAGTCGACAGTGAGCAGAGCCATGCCAGCTGTGTGGGTTGGAACCATCCGAATGTCAGCCAGATATATCAAATTCCCACACTACAGTTGAACAGGGCGACATAAAAGTGCAATTTGTAGCGACGGCTGGTTTTCCTGATGTAATCGGAGCTGTCGACTGCACACACATTGCTATAGAGGCACCATCACTAGATGCATGTGTTTATGTAAACAGGAGGCATTTATTATTAAATCAGTGTACAGATCATCTGTGATGCGCAAATA